TCGGATTCTCCAGCATCTGCAGTTCCTACTATCTCTGATTTGGTTAAGCATTTCTGTTTGAAAATGAGTACTTTTTTTAACCGTGAAAATTATATAACACCAGGGTCACCACTTCTGGTGATGATTTCATTTAATCTGGAATATTGCACCTACACATTTTGCTTCTAATTTCAGGATATATTGTCCACGAAATTGTATGCAGGAAAATCCCCATCTGGCTCGGGTTATTGGAACCCGCATCTATTCCGATGTAAGTAGTTGGAATACAGTTTGCTAGGTAACTTCTTTCAGTTGTTGTATGATGGTTTATGCACTTTCTATATAATGGCCCTGTATCATCTGGTATCTGGATCATTGGAAATGGGACACAAGTTGCATAAAAAGTCCTGAAATTGCCCAGGACATTTAATCTTCCATAGGCTGATTTGTGATTACTGGGACTATCCACGAACATCTGCGTTCCTGAGCTTTTGGTGGAGACTTGGGTCTAAGTGAGGCAACCTTGTCCTAGAAATGTTGCACAGTTTAACATCTGTTCTAATTCCATTATCAACCAACTGAGCATCACAACTGATTGCCCTGACTACCCCCCACCACTTGACTGTCACTAACCGTCCCACAACATCCTCTGACCCAACTACCACATGACCCAACCTGACTAGCCCTCCAACTATCCAACCCATCCTCGTAAACTTGACATAATCTAACAAATCTGCGTACCACTCAGTCCTGACTCTCCGCCTCACAACGTTCACCCACTTCCCACTTCACCCAACTATTACCCTCCTCTATTCACCCATCACTATCTCACTCACTCACTGAAAAATTTTGTACTTGTAAAAATGTACTTGAATACCTCTGGCGCTGTTGTTTGAAGGTATGTGTCCTCCCTTCTTCTGTCTCTTCTCTATGCTTTAGGTTAAATTTCAATTTCCTATCCATGCTGTTGTAGTGGAGAACTCTCACTTATTACATGTCCTTGCCACTCATTAGTATGACCTTCTTTCCTTGGGTCTTAGAAATATTCACAGGCAGTGTCAACAGCACCTCATATTTCGCTTGGGAACCCTGTAGCCCAATGGTATCAATGTGGACTTCATAAGCTTCTAAATCTCCCCTCCCCCTACCGCATCCCAAAACCAGCCCAGCTCGTCCCCGCCTCCCTAACCTGTCCTTCCTCCCACCTATCCCCTCCTCCCACCTCAAGCCCCACCCCCATCACCTACCTACTAACCGCATCCCGCCCCCTTGACCTGTCCGTCCTCCCTGGACTGACCTATCCCCTCCCTAACTCCCCACCTACACTCACCTTTACTGGCTCCATCCCCGCCTCTTTGACCTGTCTGTCTCCACTCCACCTATCTACTCCTCTATCCATCTTCTATCTGCCTCCCCCTCTCTCCCTATTTATTTCAGAACGCCCTAACCCTTCCCCCATTTCTGAAGAAGGGTCTAGGCCCGAAATGTCAGTCTTCCTGCTCCTATGATGCTGCTTGGCCTGCTGTGTTCATTCAGCTCTACACCTTGTTATCTCAGTGTCAATGCATTTAGCTGACGAAAAGGTTTGGATCTTTGGAAATCAATTAATTAGTCACTGAAGGGCATCAGTTAGCCCATGGGTGAACAAGGATGATCCATGCTTCCCCCATCACTTAAAATTGCCTTTTGTTTTATGTTCGTGGGAAGTGGGCATCACTGGTTAGGCCAGCATTTATTGCCCATCTCTGATGACCCTTGAGAATGTGATGATGAGTCAACGTCTTGAACTGCTACAGTCCTTGGGGTGTAGGTACATCCAGAATGCTAAATTGTAGTGGAGTGTGTAGGCATCAGGCTTTTGGCATGGTACCCAAGTTTATGGCTCCCTCATCCCTCTCCTATCATCCTAACCCTTGCAGTTGTGGGATGTCATAAGATTCTAGCCCATGAGTTAAGTGCTAATGTCAACTCTCTGCCACATGCAAGATTTTACATTGCTTGCAGCTGAGCTTTAGTCAAACTTTTGAAACTCTATCCTGTCGAAAAAAAATAGTATTTTGTTCCCAAGCAGAATTTACTCATGCACTTGAGCATTTTTTTTGGAAACATCAGCCTTTTTTTGAGAGTTTTCATGATATATTCTTAGAAAGGTGTCACCACAGTTACCAGCTAGTATTTTACAAGAGTTTCCAGAGGATTTGGACTCAAAATCATGCCAATATTTATTTATTCATTATTACTCTTGTTGCCAAAACTGTGTGGAAAATTTTGCAGTCTATGGGTAGAGAACAAGTAAGCCACTCTTTCTAGAATGAATGAAGGAAAGAAGGTCAAACTAATGGGTGGCAAGGACATGTAATAAGTGGGAGTTCTCCACTACAAAAGCATGGATAAGAAATTGAAGTTTAACACTTAAAGAAAACAAAATGGATAGAAAATTTCATCTTTAACTTTTGTCTTGTTTCTAACATTCCTGGTATAAATTTTTTACCCAATTTGCAGTATTTTATGCACATTAAAATTCAGCTTGCTCAGATTGTCAGTGTTCACTTGTAGCACATGAAGTTTTTGCATGGGGAAGCACTTAAACCACAGTAAGATTTATCTTTTAAATCTGAAGTACTATCAATGATATACATCTACAATCATACTGTAAAACAAATAAGAGTTTTATGGTCACAAAAACGGTAATTGTTGAAAAACTCTGCAGGTCTGGCAGCATCTGTGGAGAGAAAGCAGAGTTAACACTTCAGGTTCGGCGACCCCACTTCCGAACTAACAGTATATTATGAATAAGACTTTTATAGTCAAAAAAACAGAAATTATTGGAAAAGCTCAGTAGGTCTGGCAGCATCTGTGGAGAGAAATCAGAGTTAACGTTTCAGGTCCAGTGACTGGGAATTCTGAGGAAGGGTCACTGGACCCGAAATGTTAACTTTGATTCTGTCCACAGATGCTGCCAGACCTGCTGAGCTTTTCCAATAATTTCTGTTTTTGTATCTGATTTCCACAGATCTTTCTTAAGACTTTTATAGTGTTCAAATTCAATGCTGTTCTTTTATTTGCTGGTATTTATTACTGTAAGTATTCATATATTTTAGACGAGTTCATCAGACATAACATCTTCACTTTTTGCAATTTCAAGTATATAGGGCAAGGAAATTTCACCTGATTGGGATGACTTGGGGAGCCCTTTAAATATAGTGAGTGGATCCTAATTCTGGGAATCCTGACCCAATCCCAGGTTCTCAGATTTTAGAACTAGCTTTTCAGGGTGTGGGCTTGTTCAGCTCATGAGTCTGAATTCCTAACCTACCTGGCTCCTTTGCAGAGAAAGGCATGGCCAATGCTATTTTCATGGAACAAAAAACCGAAGGAACTGTTGCTGAAAATCAGAAATGAAAACAGAAATTGCTGCAAAAACTCAGCAGGTCTGGCAGCATCTGTGGAGAGAAAGCAGAATTAATGTTTCGGGTCCAATGATACTTCCTCAGAACTGATGGTAACTTAGAAAAGGTTAGCATTTATGCAGAAGATAGGGTAGGAGAAGTGGGGGAGCAGTAAACAATAGGTGGAGATAGAGCCCAAAGAGAAGACAAAGGACTGAGTAAAGGACAACCTGGGATAATAAATAATTGCCAATGGGAACTATTAGTGTTTGGTAACAGCCCATCTGATGACAACGCCTGGTGTATGGGGGTTTGGGTAAGGACATGGGAGAAGGAAGAAAAATTCTTGAGCTTGATACTGAGTCCAGAAAGCTGTAGAGTTCCCAAGCGGAAAATAAAGCACTGTTCTTCCAGCTTGTGCTGTGTTCTGCTAGAGCACAGCAGCAAGCCTGAGACAGATGTTGGCCAGGGAACATGGTGGTGTGTTGAAGTGGCAATTTTCATGGAGTCAGGCCAATTTCTTTAAAGAGACATGATTCATGGCACCTCAGGGGTGTCATGAACCATAGACTGTATGAGGTAACCTTTTGAAAGGTAATTTGAAAAAGTCTTCCTCATACCCCACAATGCCAAGCTATTCAACTCCACCCGTGCCTTCTGGTCTTTCATTCCTACCAGGCTAGGCTATGCTGTTGCCTACCACACCCCCCCCCTCACCCCACTTCACATTCATGGCCCCTCCTGCTCCATGTACCAAGCTGTGCCATCTTCATGCCCATTCACCCACTGTACATTGTATAGAAGCAGTGAATGCTATGGTGTTAAAGCTATAAAACAGTCATGCATCAATAGGTTTCCACTTTGAAAAAGACAAACTTTTTTTGAGGTCAATAAACATCTATCTCTCTAAAATAGCAGCAGCTGAAATTGCAAGCACTTGAAATCTCTTAATCTTATGTGTAAAAAAATTCTGAAATTGACTGCATATTACAGAGATCGAGAGTTGTTAATCAAGCAGAGGCTCAGATGTTTCAGCAGCGTAATGGATATCTGATCACATAACTAATTATCACTATTTACCTTGAGGTTCAAAATCTAAACCATAATCTTCAGTTGTAGGTATCACCCATAAGACTGTATGCAGGCTTATGAAAAGACTTTCCCAGATAAATTGACAAAAATTATGGCTGACTTTTTAAATAGCTACATGTGCAAGATTTGCATATGTGCATTTGCTTGAAAGTGTAACAGCGTTTTCAGAGTAATTGCATGTATGCAATGTATACCTGATTGTTTATTTTTTTGGGTTGTTCAATTTGTCTCATGTTAGAAATAGGATGTTTTAGAAGTGTGTGAACTCTCAACCTAAAAGTCACAGTAAGCTTTGCAATAGTAAAATTTACAAATGTAAACTTTTTGTTGTATACAAAATTATATTGTATTGTGTATCTGGGGAGATGGTGGGACAGTGATAACGTCACTGGACTCTTAATCCTCAGGCTAATGTACTGTGGATATTGGTTTGAATCCCACTATAGCAGGTGGTTAAAATTGAATTCAATAAAAAATCTGTAATTAAAAAACAAAATCATTGTTGTTTAAAAAAAGTCACTTGGTTCACTAATGCCCTTTAGGGGAGGAAATCTGCCAGCCTTACTTGTCAGGTCTACGTGTGACTCCAGACCCATAGAGATGTGGCACAGTGGTTAGCACTGCTGCCTCACAGCGCCAGGGATCTGGGTTCAATTCCAGCCTTGGGTGACCATCTGTGTGGGTTTGCTGTGGTTTCCTCCCACAGTCCAAAGATGTGTAGGCTAGGTGGATTAGCCATGAGAAACGCAGGGTTACAGGAATAGGATAGCAGGGGTGGGTCTGGGTGGGATGTGCTTTGGAGAGTTGGTATGGACTGAGTGGCCTGCTTCTATACATGGGGGAAGGGATCCTATGATGTGGTTGATCCTTAACTGTCCTGAGGCCAATTTTGCTTGGGCAATAAATGCTGACTCAGCTCGTGATGCCCACATCCCTTGAACAAATAAGTAAAAAATGTCATTACTTCAGTAAGCTCTATAGTTGTTTCTTGAATAAGGGTCTTCTGCTTCCTCTAGCCCCATTTAACACAACAAAAATCCCAGTGTGCCTTTTCTTGAATGGCCATCTTTTTAGTCTTCTGAATTTTGCTGTGTCGAATTCAAATGGGAATGATGAATTGAACACTGACGATCTGGATTGTATGATCCATGAGGCACTAAATAATATAAATTATTTCACAGCTCAGTGCTAACAAAGGGCTAAGTATGCTAGTTTGAATTGCTTTCATTGGCATACAAAATGCATTGAAAAGCATGTAGACTAGGAATGACAGTATATCAAAGGAAAGCAACTGGCTGGAATGCAAGGCTGTTTCCATCCAAACTCCATTATGTGATTTTGTCAGAAATGCACTGAGCGTTAAGGCGGCACATCAGCAGAAAGTTTGAAGAAATTCCTAGTGTATCTTTTTGCATCCGATTTAATGAAAGCCACAAGTTTCATTTAAAAAGCACGGATCAGGAGCTTGAGTTTGAATGCTTGATTTCTTTGATAATTCCTGTTTCCCATTCCTGTGCTGGTCTGTGTCACTGATGTGACTGTATTGTCAAGTGTAAGTGGTCTGATTGGATTGGCGGTGAACTTGGTGTCCAGTCGGTACCACTGAACTCTCCAAGAGGTGGGAAGTGCTCGTTGAGCACAGTTGTCAAAATCAGACCACAACCATGTAAATGGCAGCCATAACAGAGGCAGTCACAGCCTTTGTAGAATAGCGGAGTAATTTCTCCTTCAGAAAATCTCATTACTTGATGGTTTCCTGTACCCAACCCGGCAGCTGTGCACTAACATGCGCCACACGGTTCAGGTTGAGTGATCTGCAATTTCAAAATCACCTTCTGTTCCTCCCCATAATCTCAGGAGGAGGGGTAAGGCATTTAAACTGAGATGAGGAGGAATTTCTTCACTCATAGAAGGTGTTGAATCTTTGGCATTTTCTATCGCAGAGGGCTATGGAAGATCAGTAATTGAGCCTGTCAAGAGAGAAATAAATATTTCTGCAGACTAATGACATTAAGGAATAAGAAAAGTGTGTGAGATAGTGGCGTTGGGAAGAAGATCAGCCATAAACTAGAATGTTGGGATGGGCTCAATACACTAAACATCCCCTCCTGCTATTTCTATTCTCCAATGTTATTGCTTTTTAATGTCAAGAAACAAAAGTAAACATGACAACTAACACACAGATATGCACGCACACACACACATGTACACTCACAATATACACACACACAAAACAACACAGGGATTAAATCTTAGAAAGAAGAGAGATGGAGGATGGTATTTGTACAGATAGGCTGGTGTAGGTAGTTTCCATTCAAAGCCTTTTGTGTTTGTGAACTGAAAGAGTGAAATCTGATTCCCAACAGTTTAACTGTTATCTTGTATCCACTGGATGGGTGAGGTTTGCACCTTGATTTCTCAGTGAATGGTGACTTATCTAGGTTGCTCTTTCATTGAGCATTGACTTTTGAGGCTGAGAAGACATAGGGTAGAGAGTGTATCTTCTAGCTCTTGCTACAAATCAATGTCTCTTTGTTTCTATCCTGCTGCCCAGAATCAGCTGTTGTTAAAGTTCCATTTTTACACTTCTGAGTCAGCATTTTTTTTTTGCACGCTGATTACTTTGCTGACAACCTTTCGCCTTAATGTGTAACTTTCAGAAAGGTGTGAATCAGCTGAGAGATATAGGTCAGAATTTCACTGCCCTTTCGTAATGATGTTAATTCTGGCACAGAATGATTCTTCTTTACTGATGGCTTCATAATCTTGGCTCAACATGGTCAGGTGTTCAACAGCAGCCATTTTAGATCAGTATTTATCCTTTCGGTTGATTTTAGCTTGCGTAGATCGTGGGCATGAGAATCAGATGATAGATGCTGAATATCAATCTTCCATTTCTACCATAAACTGACAGTGAGGCAGCGCAATGATTTCTGTTCTGTATGACAACTAAATTATCTGATTTACTGTTATTAATGTGGTCAGTGCCTTTATCTTGAGGATTATTGTCTTAACATTCTCACTGCTGCTTTGTAAACTCACTGTAGAAACTCTTGATACTGACTTCGCTTAATAAAGTTAAGACATGGACTTAATGCATTAGTTCCACTTCTATGTATATTGGCTTGTTTTGATTGTCTAACAAAATTTTAGAACCAAAGTGATTTATGTTTATTGATAGTTGTGATGGAGGGCTGAAGACAAGCAGCCAAGTTAGTTTCATAAATTAATCGGTTTTTAAAATTTTATTTCCCTCCAGAGATCCAGTATTTGCAGAGCAGCCGTACATGCTGGGGTTATTCATAATCATGAAGGAGGTTATGTTGACGTGATGCCAGTGGACAAAAAAAAGTATTATGTTGGCTCATACCAGAATGGAATATTCTCTGAAAGGTTGGAGCAATAATCTAAAGCAGCAGACTTAATCAGATGCCAAAGTTAATTTTTGAACAGCAGAACTTATTCAACTTATTGGTTAAAGAGAAAACCATAAACAGGCTGAAACAGTCTGTCCTATCCCAATGTTATGCAAAGTAATTTAATGATTTCAGTGGTGGCTATGGTATGTAGAACTGCCTGGCTCCTGTAAGCTGATAAAACATATCCCTCTAAAAGCTGCTTACTAATGCAACATCACAACAAATATTCTTTTTCATAGCTGGTTTACAAAATGTCCAAACTTCGGAGACAAATAATAAATACTATGGGATGAATTTGCAGATTCATTAATAATTGAATCTCTAGATGTTGTCTTTGGAATTATCCTGAATATTGTTGTTTCATTGATCAGAACTAAATTCTGTTGAGGATATTAAGACCTGTTGCACATAAATGTACTCAACATACGGAACAAGAATTTTAAAAATAGATTTCTTTGAATGTTATAAGAGTGTGTTCACTCCAATGCATTGATAAATTCTATGAACAGGAATGAAAACCAGTTTGAAAATAAATTATCCAGGACAGCATAGTCTTAAATTTAATAACTATATTGCTATTCTTCATGCAAATAACACCAATAAGGATAATTTTTACCACAGTGCACACTGTGATCATCACCCATGCTGTTTGGGATATTGATGGGAGGTTCCACTCAGTACACTAGACATAGTGTTTATTTTTGTGGGGCACAGGAGAACACAGAAACCTATCCAAAAATACACATACTCTCTTCAGGTAAAAATCCTTTCAGTTTTTGTTTGAGCATCCCTTTACTGAAGGGATATCTATTTAAGTCCAAACAATAATCTGCAGAGTTCTCTATTCAAAGCTCTGCCTAAGCCCTCATAGTACGTGGAGCTAAGCCATTGTCATGCTCCTGGGGCACTAAGGAGTAGAGTTGTGAACACAGCCCAGGCCATCATGCAAACCAGCCTTCCATTCATTGACTCCTCTATACTTCCCGCTGCCTTGGGAAAGCACCCAACATAATCAAAGACCGCTCCTGCTCTCTTTTACTGATATAAAAGCTTGTATACACGTACAAGTAAATTCAAGAACAGCTTCTTCCCCACTGTTATTAGACTTCTGAAAAGACCTCAAATTTTAAATTTAATGTTGATCTCGCTCTCTGTGCATCTTGTCTGCAGCTGTAACATTGTTTTCTTTGCTTTGTTTTATTACCCTAATGTACTTTGTGTGGTATGATCTACCTGTACTACATGCAGAAAAAAACTTTTCAGCGTACCTAGATAAATGTGACAGTAACAAGTCAAAGCTATACTGGTGAACTCCTAACTTCACCTTGTTTAATATTACTACCAGTGGTTCAGTCATAGTATACCATCATTTATGTGACTATTCTGTATACTGTTCTGTATAATGTTTTAGGAACTTGCTTTAACTAAAATTCCTTTGTAGATTAATTGCAAAAAAGAAAATATTTTTCTTAGTTTAAGTTTGAACTTTTCTGAAAGTAGACAGAAACTGTTTCAAAAAAATGTTGTTATTTAGGGCAACAATTGAAACTGAATATGTATTAATGTTTAACAAATGTTTCCTCTTCTCTTTTAGCCTTAAGAATCCACCTGGAGCTAAAGCATTCAGAATATTTGCAGTCATCTGATTCCATGAGAAAATAATACAGGAAAGTCAGTTCAGTACTTGGAAGAAGCAAAGTGTTTCAACTATTTGTTATGCTTTTTGCTGAGTTGTGATATTGGCAGAAACAGTTTAGTCCGTTGTAAGTCAAACATTTCTGTGCCATACATTGAAAAAAAAACATATTGCTGAATATCAGAAACACAGGTTAGAGGTGCTCAATAAGGTAATAATAAAATTCCCTTATTTTTGTTATACTTAATAAATTCACATTTCTGTAATTACTGTTTTGTTACAGAATGCTGCTAACTCAATGGTCATACCAAAAATATACACACAAAATTCAACTGAAAACCAAGATTAGACAGGATTAACCTAATGCTTTACAAACCTGGCAGTTACTCCTGCAGGCCAGGATGTAAGTCAATTATAATAATGTGTTATCAGTAGAAATGGAAAGCTTGTGGAGACTGTAAGGGAGAAATTGGAACTCACCGCACCCATTTCTTCAATGAAGAAAGAACATTGGGAGACCCGATTTTGCAGCCCAATCTCTTGTACCCAATCTTTCCCAGGAATGCAGCAGCTGACAACCTGGAAGCTGGATATTCCCATTGGCCAGGATCTCCACCTGAAACAGGTGTTAGGCACTTTGGAAATGCAGATGGAGGTCCTAACACTGGTTATGAAAGCCCATATCAATTTTGTAATGAATGACTTGATCCTCGCATATTCTGCCCAGTTGAGCTGGGTTTTCAGCAACCCATTTGATGGCCCTTAAAGGGACCGTTGGAGGCTTCCCCCCAAAAAAAGGTAAGTGTACCTTTTCATGTTTGTGGAACCAGTTGGAATATGAGTATCCTCCTGTTTTGGCAAACGTACTGGGGTGTGCTCCCACCTTTTTCCCTCTGGTTTGGCTCCCTTTCTCTCTCCACCCACCTGCAGGCTGGTTTGGTGCTGTTACCTGTGAGCTGAATTAGATAATCAATAGGCATCTGTAGCAAATAGGGCCCGAGCTAAATTTCCAGAGGCTCAGGCATTGCTTTTGGGTGGGTATTCACTTTGTGACACTCATTTCATATCAGTTATCAGCATGAGTCTTATTTCTTGGCCAAAATGGCAAAATCCTTCATACCAGCCCGTTTAAAGTCATTAGATAACATTCCTGGCCGTGTTAACGTAATTTATATATGGGTGGGCCATGTAATTTGGATTATAAAGCACTACTTTGGAAAATAAGATAGCACACTTACTTTCCATGTTTTGATATATGAAACATGGTACAAAGGTGATATCTGTTACTATTAAAAACACTTGCTTACAGACCACAATGCTGTGGAAACTTATTTATATTCTTTTGTTATCATTGTTAAATTGCTTTTTGTGTTCATAACTTTTAACCGTTTTATGGATTCTGTCTTTCAAACAATGCTGTCTGCTATAACGTATCTTTACTACCTCAGATACTGTATTTGTTTGAGTATGTGCTTACACAGACCTTTTTTCAATTTCAACTTAATTCATTTAAATGAACTAAAGACCTTAAAAAGTAGGTGTTGCATTGTTATTGTTCAGCTTGTCTTTCATTACTTTACAAGGATGTTACTGAGACTGGAAGGTTTGAGTTATAAGAGGAGGCTGGATAGGCTTAAGTTTTTTCCCCTGGAGTGTCGGAGGCTGAGGGGTGAACTTAGAGGTTTATAAAATCATGAGGAGCATAGATAAGGTGATTAGCCAAGGGTTTTTTTTCCCTCAGGGTACGGGGAGTCCAAAACTAGAGGGCAAAGCTTTAAGGTGAGAGAGGAAAGATTGAAAAGGGACCTGAGGGACAACTTTTTCACACAGAGGGTGGTGTGTATAGGAAACGAGCTGCCAGAGGAGGTGGTAGAGGTGGTTGCAATTATAACAACTAAAAGACATTTGGACAAAGTGCATGGGTAGGAATGGTTTAGAGGGATATGGGCCAAACGCACGGAAATGGGACTAGTTCAGTTTAGGGAACCTGGTCAGCATGGACGGGCTGAGCTGTTCCATGCTATATGGTTCGATAATTCTATGACTGGGACATGAGAACAAATCTTATTCATTGTAACTCCTGCCACTAAACAGAAGAAAGAACTTGGCTCTCACTTCCTCTGTAGTGCATCTGCCATTTAACAGCTGTGTCTGGGACACCACTGTTAATAACATTGGAGGCAATGATGCTGCACCCCCACATGCATAAGGAAAGTAGTTTCTGCAGTTGTGGCATCAGAAAATACAGCTGATCATTTTACTCCCTCAAAGTAATTTTGTTTGTCCGTACCAAAACTTTTGGGGAAAAAAGAATTGAGTTAAGAGAATAGTAAATTGAAGCCTCTTTTAGATTATTTCAGCCGAGCTATGTTTGGAAATCTATGACATGGCAGCAGCATCTTCACTGTCAGTCTTAGTATTTCCAATTATGAATTATTTTGGTGAATTTTGAAAGGACTGTCTGAGAAGTGGATTTTATGGCCTGCTCCCCAAGGCTGATGTAAAAATTTGGTGATGGAATCAGGTTTGCAACCTAATGCCATCATACCAGTCTCCTCATGTGAGTTAGCCTCCAACAGGCTGTTTTACCTGATGTGTCAATGCTTACGTTGTCTCCCGTAATAAGAACTTAAGATGTGAATATCATGATATTGCAGAATCCAACAGATATTTACGGCAACTAACTTGTATGCACAAACATTACATTCCTCAGACACGAGTGTTTGGGCTTACTTTAGGCAATTAGGTTACAACAGCGGAGTGTGGTTCCTGTAGATTGACATGCTTTGGTTGATCTAGGATAAGAAGGGTTATGAGATCTTTATACCATTAGGTCACATGTTATGAGGCAGTTAGGATATCATGAGCCCATCCCTCAAAGTTACATTGGCATTCTGACCAGAAGGTGCAAAGGTGCCTAAATTATAAATCTGTTCACCATTTTTACAAATCTAACTAATATCTAGTTGACTACAAATTTAAATTTCTCACAGCATTTTTCATTAGATGTAATGGGAAAAAAAAACAGTAGTGATTTGTGCCAGATATGAGGATGTAGCTCAAAGATAGATAGAGAGACTTGCATACTGAACCAGGACTGCATTTAGGCAACAAAGTCAACTGGTGAAAGTGTTGGCTTTTGGACCTTATTACACTTTCTCAACTCACTGTTTATGGGCTGCCATAATGAGTAAAGAGAATGAGAAGAAAATAATTGTAGAGACAGAGATATCCTAGACGTTGTGGAATCCAGCATAGCAACCTCACTGCCCAGTGGGAGGAATTAAAGTGAAGGAAACAGAGGAGGCTAACTGTCGAGGGACAGATACACCCTGCAGTCCAGGCAAATCAAGGACCAACTGTTGTGCAAGTGCCTGCAGCTACAAAATGGGCAACAAAAACAGCCTATCTCTGCTTCAAGATGGGGGAAATGGTGGTGTAGTGGTAATGCTATTTGACTAGTAAGCCAAAGACCCAGGTTAATGCTTTGGGCTCACAGGTTCAAATCCAACCAAGATGGCTGGTAGAAAATAAATGCAGTTCGTAAATCTGGAGTTTTAAGTTAACTTCGATAATGGTGACCCTGAATCTGTCATCGAGTGCGATAATACTGAGCTGATTCGCCAATGTCACTGAGGGAAGGACTACATGTGACTCCAGATCCACAACAATGTGGTTGACTCATAGGTCCCTTCAGAAATGGCCAAGCGAACCACTCAGCTGAAGGGAAGTTAGCAATGGACAACAAATGCTGGCCTTGCCAGTGATGCCCATGTAGCATGAATTAATAAGCAATATATAACAGGAGGGGACTTTAATTTGCAGAGAAAATCTTCAGGCAGAGACTGAATTACTTTCAGGCTGTAACTATATTGGAAGACATTGTCTCTCTGTGGAGACCATGACCTTCCTTTGTGAATTGCAGGCTGGAGAGATCAGTTCAAATTGCAATTTTGGTCACCCTGTACCTGTCACTCTCAGGATTATAGTGGCCTTGAACATTTATACATTAGGATCATCCCAGAAAGCAGCTGAAGACTTGTGTAACATAAACTTTGGCTCATCAATATGTTAAATTAATTGTGGATGTTTAGGTGAGCAAATTACTTAATTTCCTTCACCACAGATGATGTTAGTCAGATTGAAAAAGCCAGAGACTTCAAGTTTATTGCTGAGTTCACCATAATTCAGGCAGCCAATTGCACATGAGTGGCCGTCAAACCTCCATTGGGACATTTGACAGCAATAAAGTTTTATATTCCATCCATGTCCATTTGTGTGCAAGCATTGGAAGAGAATCATGCTGCCATCTGCCTACTATTCTGGGAGTAGTCACAGCTCTGACACACTTAGCCACTCCCAAATGCCAAGAAAGTTCTGTCCACCATATCCGTTGGAGGTAACAAGGTGTAGAGCTGGATGAACACAGCAGGCCAAGCAGCATCATAGGGTTAGCCTGCTCCTATGATGCTGCTAAGCCTGCTGTGTTCTTCCAGCTCTACACCTTGTTATCTCAGACTTTCCAGCATCTGCAGTTCCTACTATTTCATATCCATTGGAGGTTTGGCTTCTTGGATCCAGCAGCATTATTCCTGGGATTTCTCCAGCTTTGTTTGTCAAACCATATAGGCTATGAAAGCAATATCCTTTTCTCAACCCATTGCATTGTCTCCTTTCTCAAAATCGTTTCCTTTTCTCATAATTCCCATAATTTTCCTTGACAATTGACATTTTTCCAAGGAATCACATAATAAAGTCTATTCAATAAAGCAGTGTCCAAATAGTTCCATATGCCATTTATCACAATCTATATTTAAGTGTGTTTCTGTGAACATACCTGAAATAAAAATGAAGCCAGAGTATAGAGACTATCATTTGATACAGACTCTAAGCAACATATATCCAAATTTTAAAAAAAGTGACAAATCACTTGCCATCTGTGACAAATATGCTTTAACTTCCCTGATAGCTGTTAAAACGAGGTGTTCCCTGAACTATGCACTGTACTGGGAGAGAGGCTACTGCCCCTTTCATTCCTTTGCCTGGGGTGACTTTGATGGACAGTATCAGGTCCCCTGAGAGTATGAGAGCTCCAACACAGTGGAAGTTTCCTGCATAGTTATAGGAGGCTGATGTATCATCATGGCACTTAGAGACATTGGCAAAGGCAAAAACATGAAGGAGAGACCATTCCTATCAAAAACATGCAGAGAGGTGAGTACACCCAAGGAAACAACAACTGCTCATCTCTTGTACTGAGGCCCATTTTGCTCTCCTGGCTTTGCTGGAAGAAACCAGGATCTGGATGTGTGTCCGGACTTCTTGCGTCTTCTTGCCCTTGCTCTGAGCATCAGTGCTCCAAGACAAGGTGGTGGACTGGCATTTAGATCCCTACCCAGTATCACATCAGTGAGTTGTTGATCTGACCTTCCATGGCAGTCAGCAGACTCTCGACGAAGGAGGGCCCACATTCTGAAGACTGGAATGTTGATATCCTGGATGGTCCCTCCACTACCTGTGTGAGTGCACACAAACCCTCTGGAAGCTCTGCCACAGCTCCACGTACGTCAGGCTATAAGTCTAACATCTCCTGAGTGATAGATAACTCCAGAGACTCATTATCAGACTCACCCTCAGCACGTAGCTAATTCCAGCACTCCTCTGACTGCCAGAGGCCTGATCTAGCTCAGGTTCTAACAGCTGGGCTTGTGATTATGCTGTGCTTTCACTAGCATCTCTGTGGTGACTCACACATTTCCATCAAGTTAGATGTATCTGCTCTAGTGCTAGCTGCGGCACAGTCATTTGACAGTGCATCCTCTGAGGGTTCATCTTCTACAGAGATTAAAGGAGGTTCCTGAGGACAAATTTTCACCTTTGGGGGAAATAAGCAAGAATTATGAAGGACACTGTTTTTATGTGAATTAGAGAACGATTCAGCCCCTAGTTTCAGTAATGTTGATCAGGAGACCATTGCCAATTGTTGTAAAAATCTGTGTCATTAATGTTCTTTAGGGAAGGAAAATCTACCATCCTAATTGGCCTGGCCTACATCCGACTCCAGGCACACTGGACCATCTCTAACACCTCTCTCCCCTTCCTGGACCTCTCTGTCTCCATATCGGGCAACCACCTCGAAACCGATATTCATTTCAAGCCCACCGACTCCCACAGCTACCTAGAATACTCCTCCTCCCACCCACCTTCCTGCAAAAATGCTATCCCCTATTCCCAATTCCTTCGCCTCCGCCGCATCTGCTCCCAGGATGAGGCATTCCACTCCCGTACATCTCAGTTGTCCTCGTTTTTCAAG